TTTATAAGATTTGGAGCAATTGATGATTTACATTAATAATTGGGGTTTTAAAATTATTTTGCCATTTTTGAAGCTACTGGATTAAGTTTTTCTGCTTTTCAGAGAAACTTTAAAGAGCTGAGGAGTGCTTTATCATGTTTACTCTATGTATGCTATAAGGCTGGAGTATAGTTGAAGGATGTGCTAATTCTGTTTCTCTGAAATTCATAAGTTGAAGAATATTATGCAGTAAGATTACAATATACGGACATGCCTCTTGCAAGGACATCTGAGAAACAAGAAGCCTAAGCAACTGAAATATTTCTTGGCACATTTAATGATTTTAATCCTAAAATAAATTTCTCCATTTTTAGATAAGTTGTAAAATTAACATATTTGCCTTAATTGAATAAAACTTAGTATTATAGTCAAAATATAATTAGAAGTATTTTGATAAATACTGGATTCTGCTTGAATTATTACTGAAATGTAATTTGGGAGATACTAGGGGAGAATATTTTAGAACATAGAATATTAAACGAAATGTTAGAATTGAAAGGGTTTGCCAACAAATGTAAGTTAAGAAAAGAATGCATATATGGTATAAGAAACTTCATGACATCTTTTAGTTTCAAAATCTAACTGCCAAAGCAAAGCATTGGCAGATTATAGACTAGAATGACTTTTTCATTTTAGGAACTTTTTTTTCATCAATGTGGTAAATGATATTCCAAGTTGTTAGATAGATTCCTTGCCTTTCTAAAAGGTATTTAGGTAGTAATCGCAAGGACAAGTACCTAGAAGTATTACAAGCCTAAATGAAATATATAAACAAATAATAATGGAGGAAATAAAATGAAAACAAAATAAAATCTTACTCCTTTACAGCCAAATAGAAGTCACATAGTTCATGCACAGAAGTTTATGTACTTACAAAGGGTTTGTTACACCCTCATGCAGCATCTGGTTTACACTTAGTTTGGATTCAGCTTTGACATACTTAGTTACGTGGTTTTCTAACATTTATTGCCATTTGCTTCCAACCTTTGCTATGTGTATGTGCACCTAGCAAATTGATAAGAAAAAGGATATGCTGCTGAGGATGGGCCCAGTGACAGTGACAATGGGAAGGGAATAAAAGAATCCTATAAAAAGAAGATATGTGAATGCAAAAACATCATAGTTTGAGGTCGTTTACTACTAAAAGCAGATCCAGGCCTCTTCACAGAAATAGCCCTGGCCACCCTGAGGGGTTCACTGTATGACAGTGTAGGGCTATCACTGATGTTCATACTAATGACTTTAAGCCATAAATTATGTGGTATTTAATCCATTTAAGACAGCATGTAAAACATTTAAAAGACTGAATGTTATCAAAAATAATTAAAAGTTATAAGGCTTTGGTTAACAGGAATGTTCACTCATTTAGAGCATCTTGTCAGTAGGCATTGCTATTTGCGGATGTGTATATTGAATATTATATATTTCCTGAAGTATTTAAGCAATATTTT